AGAGTTATTTTTGTTCAAAGTTTACTATTAAAAAAAGATTGATGAAAAATCCTTCTTAATAAAAAGTTGACTATGTTTCTAAATCATATGATGTGGGACGCTCCAATCAGACCCCATATGTGAATTGCGAATTCACATAATTTCTTTTTCATGTACAACATGCCCACTAATTTATCATTGGCCCAAATTATTAGGAACAATTAATTGTAAGAAATTATGATCTAAAATTAAATTTTACAAATCTTTTTTTTTAATAATGGCAACTCTTGAAGAAATTAGAGAGAGAGAAAAAATTGCACTTAAAGAACACAAAAAAGCTGAGGACAAGTTGAAGGAATTCGAAGATGGGGAAGACAGGCAGTGGTTAGACAAGTTGAGGGGAAAGGCAAGAAGTGGAGAACTTAATGAAGATGATAAGAGACTGGAAAAAAAAAGAGGGGGAGTTGATGAAGAAGGTGGAAGATAGGTTGAAACGAGTAGAGAAATTGCAGGATGAGTTGTTAGGATATGGCAAAGAAAAGGGTAATGAACAAATTGTGTAAAAAAATATACAAAAAATTATTTTTCATTCATTCCATTTCATTTATTTATTTATTTATTGAGATATTAGTGTATTGTTTATAGTTTTAATTTGTATTTTTTCTTTCTGTTCTTTATTTGTTTAACATTAAATTATGTTGCTTGTATAGTGAAATATTAATGATATTTCCTATTTCCATTTCTATTTATTTCAGAAGCCATCCATTTCAAGAGAAAATTTAGTTACTCATCATCAACACCATCAGGAAATTAATTTAGCGTAAACTTGCCGACGTAATATTGTGTAAATCTTACAGTGCCAACGTAAGTTTTACACTTTTTTATTATTAAACTTACAATTGACATGTGTAAAAATTTTTTATATTTTCCAGATGACCATCAAAATTACAGAAACAACTAGCCATTGATGATTCTTTCACATTTTCACATTATTATGAAACTAGAGTGAAAAATAATCTTCTTTCAATTCCTGAACATTCTTTATGGTTTCGGCAAAAAATTCTTAGTACAGAGGAAAAAGATACTGCACATGATGGGTTTGATTTTTCAGATGTTCCAAGTTATGCAGATGCAAAACTTATTCAAGAACAAGAAAGTTTAAGCAAATTAGAAACAGTCTATCAATGTTATCTTATGAAGAAGCTGGATATTTTTGTTTCCAAATACCCAAGCATGCAACTGAAACATGTAGATACTCACCAGAAACCTATTCTTAAGGGACAAAAACCAGATATTACCTTCTATTTGCAAGATCGAGCCATCTCAGATATCAATATTGTTTCTGTTTTAGAGATCAAAGTCACTGAAAAAGAGGATGAATGGGTGAAAACCACATCCCTTGCAGAGTTATGTCAATTTCTAGAAAACTTTTACAATTAAACCTAGATCACAAGGAGGCAACAGGGATTTTGACAACTTGTCATCATATTCAATTCATTAAAGCTGTATTTACTGAAAATAATGATACCTATTTCTATATAACTGGTATCTTTCCACTTAGAAAAGTTGGATCCCATTATCTTGCACACCTTTGTTTATCAACATCAGAACTTCTTGGATTTTCACTTCCAACAATTAAATACCAAGAAAAAATATTTGAGGCAACAGAGATACTTGGAACTGGTGCAACAAGTACTGCTTACTTACTTGGAAATGATTATGTCATAAAAGTTTATAAGCCTATTTATGCTGATATTTTCAATTTTGAAAGGGATGTATTGAAAAGTTTGGAAGCAGGTGGTGTGATTAATATTCCTTGTTATGTTAGATGTGGAAAAACATCAAAGACAAGTGCCAACTTTATCTTAATGAGTGGAGTTGGGTCATCTCTTAATGACACAGATATTGATATACGACAGATATTTATACAATTACTTGATGTTATTAAACAATCACATGATCTTGAGATTGTTCATCAAGATATTCATATACACAATATTCTAATAAAAGACAAAAATGTATTACTTATTGATTGGGGATTTGTAGCAAAGTTAGGAAAAGAAACAGCATATCATGGAACTATCACAACAGTTTCAAATCACAATTTAGAAAAGTTAGAAAGTGGAAATATAATGTTCCAATCAAAGAAAAGTGATGACCTACATTCTGTTGTCAGATGTTATTACCTTATTCAAAATCAACAAATACAGAAGGAATTACATGACCTTGATATTTCAAAGTTTGAATCAATTAAGAAGTTCTGGAATACAGAATTGAGTGCACCATACTGGATTGAATGTAATAATGCAGCAGAAAGTGAAGATTATAAAAAGCTAAAGGCATAATTTGAATATATATTGTGAGATCAAAATCCACATCTCACACAAATCTATTGATTTGGTTAAATTAATATTTATTTCATTTTATAGCAGTATCCAATGATGTAACTCTTTGATTACTTTCTTTCTCCTATAGCACTCAAGCTATTTAATTATTTACAGGGCAAGTTTCCTTACTTCCCTTCTGGTAATGTTTTCTCAGCAGTCCTTTGTTATCTGCCTGAGCTGGCATGTCTCAATGATATTTATAATATCTCAAGTATCCGCTGTGATACTTTATACACTTATTATTATTATATTTATGGCTCAATCTCTTAACTGACCTCACCTAGCTAGGATTTCCACTATTTAGGCATTGACCTAAACTAAATAAAAATAAAGAAAATGATTAAAAGAAAAATACACACACAACTATACTTATCAAAGGTGTCCCCCTGGTAAGATAGTAATTAATTAATAATTGAGTTAGAGTGAAAGGTTTATGTGGTTTTGGAAGTGGGTGGATTATTCCACTGGCAAGAGATTATTTTAAGAGATATTTATGTTTGAATTTTATTATTTAGATATTATTGTTATTACAAGATAATAGTTATATATATTTTTTTTTAACTAACTAATGATCACATGAAAAGAGAAATTTACAACGTATTCATACATGTTAAAGGTTCTATCATCTAGTTCTCTGACTTTGTTGAAATCCTAATTTATACTAATTAATATATTCCTTAAACATTATTTAAACCTTCTGTCTAGAATTATTTTCAAGTAATTTCTAGTCAATGTGAGTCATGTAAAATTCTTTTGTTTAAATATTATTCTAAGACTTTGTAGTCCATTACACTTTAATTTCTTGTTGAGTTATTCAGTGATAATTGCTTCCAAATTTTCACTTCGTGATACATGTAAATCATTTCTGATTTATATGTTCATTTCCCGTGATCTATAATTTACTATTTTACAATATCTTAAATTAGTCGCATTTACAATCATTTTGACATTCGTTATATTAAGGTTATTTTGATTATATCAAGAGATATGGTCAAGAGAAGAGTTAGGAAGAGAGTTATTATCCAACCAAGTCAAAAACCAACCCTTTAAATACATTTTCGAGTAGTACAATTTAATTTATTAGACTATTTCAACAGTTGCTTCCAACTTCTTAAATTCGTTAATGTAACAATTGTTGGTGAAGTGATTGTTGACAAAATGAATCAAACCCATATTTATTTCTACGTTTATCAAATTCGCAATTTTAATTGGTCAATCAACAAATAGCATGGGTTAAAATTTTGTGTTCCCTCCTGTTAATTTTTGTGTTCCCAGAACGGTCTCTCCTGTTATAACCTATATATGTAGTCTCCGGGGTCCTATTAAAATACTTTACATTGTATGCAACTGATCTATTATTAATTATTTTAGTCTATATTGTTATTGTGTACAATTGTTATTTTCATTATTTGGATACAAGTTGCAAATTAAGTGCTGGAGCTTTCTGGAAAGTCTTAAGAGACCAACTTGGTTATTAATAAGATTTATTTATTTATTGTATTTTTATTATTATTATAAATTATATAAATATAAGCTTTCTGTTTTATAACTTTTGTAACTTGTATTTAATTAAAACACTTGGTCTTGTAAGGAAAAGAGGTTTCCTTACATATCAGAAGTATTTTGAAGAAAGAACAAGGTGAAAAAATTGCCCCTTACATTTTCAAAATAAATGATACTCAGGCACTGGAAGCTTATATGAAAAAAGGATTAAAAACGCTGCAACTCTTGATGTTGCAACACTGCGGGAAATGTCTTAAATGCCCACATTGTCTGCAAATACTTTTCATATTAATATCCACAATTGTCTGCAATTTCTGCAAATGCTTTCTATATCTACAATTATCCTCAGATAAAATCAAAGTTTATCTAAATAAAGTTATTTCTATAGTTATGTCTCCTAAGACTTTTTTTAATAGCAGAGATGAAATATGAAATAGATAAAAGAACTTGATATTTTACAAAAAAAAAAAAATGGTTCCCAAAAAGATCAAAAATTTTCCATACCATCTTTTCTTCAACAAAGGAGAACCTCTTCTATGAAGAGGTTCTTTATTGATCATTTGAACTTGAGAATACCAAAACTTGGTTTTTCTTAAAAAAAGAATGCAATTGGCCAGCAATTGTAAACAATCATCACTCCTAAACTAAAAAAAGATGACTAGAGCTCCAAACAAGTTGGTTCAGGTCAATGGGTCACAGATTAAGAAAATTACAAATGTAGATATATTAATTGATTTAAATATATACAGTTAGGGATGTTCCATTGCGCATGCTTGTGCATGACTTGCGCAACTTGCGCATGCAATTTTTAAAAATCTTGCATTTTCCCATAGAGAATTGTGTGTAACAAAAAAATTCTAAATTTATAATAATAATTATAATGGTTAATAAAAATATTTGGTTGCATTTTGAAAAGTTGGGCAGGGTGATTGGGTTTCAACAAAACCGTGTTAAATGTAAATATTGTAATTATGAATTATGTGAAATTGCTACAAGATGTGAAGTGCATTTTAAAAAATGTAAAGATGTACCTACACACGTTTTACAATCATTTTTGAGTTTTGGAATTAATGACAATAATGATAGTAATTCATCATCATCTTCTTCTTCTTCTTCATCACTGTCATCATCAACAACATCATCACTGTCATCATCGTCAACATCATCATCTTTATCACTGTCATCATCAGTGTATTTAAAAAATCAATCATTAAACTATTTTGTTGATAAAATATCAAAAAAAGAACAAGACGAGTTAGAAATTCTATTCGCAAAATCAATTTATCAGTGTGGGCTTTTTCTTTCTTTATCAGAATTAACACCAATTAAAAATTTATGGGCAAAAGCTCGTCCTTCATTTAAATTACCCGGAAGAAAAAAACTTTCCACCACTCTATTAGATAATGTATACGAAGAAACTAAACAAGAAGTTGATAAATTAATAGAGGAAGCTGAATATTATAGTTTGGTTTCAGATGGGTGGTAAGTTCTTAAATTATTTTTTATAAGTGTGTATATATTTTTTTTTTTAAATAAAATTAAAAATTTTAAAATTTTAAGGTCAAGTATCACTCAAGAGCACTGGACTAATTATATTTTGACTACTCCTGCACCTGTTTTCATAAAAGCCACACTACTGGAGAGATTTGCCAAACAAGTGATAATATAGCATCTGATCTTGAAAATATAATTAATATATTAGATATAAATAAACTTTCTTCTCTGGTAACGGATAATGCACAGGTGATGAAGAAGGCATGGAGTATTTTAATGGAAAAATATCCATCTATAATATATATAGGTTGTATTTCACATAGTTTGAATCTTTTAATTGGTGATATTATCAAGTTAGATTGGGTTGATGGCTTTTTAAAAAAAAGTAAAAGTATTGTAAAATTTTTTAAATCACATAATATTCCATCAGCTGTTTTTAAAAGATACCAACAAAATAATAATCAATCTCAAGCTTCGTTAAAATTACCAGTAAAAACTAGATGGGGTTCTTCTGTTATGTGTCTTGAATCATTAATACAAAATCGATTGGCTCTAGAATTAACTGTTACTGAATTATCTCGTAATATAAATGTTGATGTAAAATCAAGTATTCAAAGTGGAGAATTCTGGGATAATATAATTTCAATTCATGGTATTTTGAATAAAGTGTTTATTGGTATTAAATTATTTGAATCTGATGAACCAAAATTAGGCTTATTTTATGAGTGGTATCAGAATCTTTTAAATGCACAAAGTAATAATATTTTTAATATTCTTAGATTAATTTCAAAAATGTGTAATTTTTATTGTAATTATTATTAAATAATTGTTTTTTTTTAATAGCAAATTTTGATAATGAAATAAAGGACATTATTAAAAAAAGATGGAAGAAAATATATAGTCCTGTAATGTTAGTTGCTTATCTTCTTAATCCTAGGATTTCCGATCACAAATTACCTGAAAATGGTATGAATTTATTGTCAGATTTTATTGTAAAATTTTATCCTAATCACTCTGTTAAAATTTGGGAACAATTTCTACAATATAAAGCACACACTGGAATATTTAACAATTTATTGGCATGGGCATCAATTAATAAAGTGGATTTATTAACTTGGTGGAATGGAAACTTTGGAGCTTTAGCACCTGAATTAACAAATGTTGCTGCAAGAGTTCTTTCTATTCCTACCTCATCTGCTGCATCTGAGAGGAATTGGTCAACATTCTCCTATATACATGATAAAAACGAAATAAATTGACAAATGATCATACTTTTAAATTGGTTTATACAATACAGGACAAAAAATTCCAAATTATTAAAAAAAATATTATATGCTGCTTACTAGCAGCTAACAAATTGGAACTAAAAAAATGCCACCTAAAAAACCATCTTGCAGAAAGTTTAAAGGGATATGAGAACCTAAAAATTTTATTTGTGTGGCCTAATATAAAGTGTATGAATTTAAAAATGATGAATTCAGATATCAATTTATTCCTTGACCATTAAGATTTGTCATATGGTTAAGATCACTAGATTTCCAATAGTATATCTATAAAAAATAATTTAAAAAATATTAAAAATAAAATTACAATTAGCTGAAAAAAAGAATTAAAAGAATTACCATCTGGTATAACAAGATCATTTTGTTTAGAATGATAAGCTAAAAATAAAAGGAATAAATAATTTCTTAAAAAAGTGTATAAAATATATAATATACACAGTGGATTTCAATTTAGTGGATCTTGATTTAGCAGATGTCTAATAAAATACTTGATTTAACAGATTGAGATCTATGGTGATAGTAATAGTAAGTTCTCTTGATAATAACAGATTTACTTGGCATAATTGATTTTTGAAATTTTGCTCTAATTGCCCAAGTTATCTGCTAAATCAAGACACATTGTGTAGTAGTAATAAAACAATTTTTTACCTTCTTGTTGTTTCTAATAAATAAAGAATT